TGTTGATAATGATCTTCTGAGATTGTCTTCTACAGGGTCGATCACCGTATGCTCGGCTCTAACTGCTGTGCAAGGTATCAAAGTCTGCCCTGTACGTTGGGTCTGACCGTCATAATCTTGGCCTTTCACGTAAATAGGCTTTACCGCTTGCCTACTTACATCATTTTTCCTATTAACTACTGTGGGTGTGTCATTTAATAGGATGGCGGCTGCATCTATGGGATAATTTTATTAGTTATATAACTAATATAAATAAAAATTATATTAAAATATAAAGTGGCATATTATAATTTTTTTAATAAAAAATTTTTTAAATTTGTTGGCTTTTGAATATGTTATGAATTTTATAAAGGTGTACTATTGGTAGTACAAATAGTAAAATACTATCTATTAATTAAATCATAATTAAAAAATTTAACTTTGCTTACAACTTTTATTTCTTTATTTTAAAATTTTTTTGTATTAAAATTTATTTGATAAACTATCATATTCTTTATAAACACAATCTTGCTTATTTTTTTTTATTACTAATATAATCTGACCAACTTTTTTTATACTAAGCTATCTGTTTCTTTACTCAAACAATTTATTAACATTTTTTTAATTTTTTTAATAATATTTTTGCCAATCTTGTTTCTAATTTGTATACAAAAATCTTTTTACTTGACAGGTTATAACTACACTATTCCTTATACAAACCTTCTCTAATTTCTACTCTATTTGACTTAGTTTTAGTAAATCTTATTTTTACTATTCATGATATTTTTATTTTCTATTACATTATTGCTTCTTTCTTTTCTTTATCTAAATTGACAAGTTTATAAACACATTTGGATTTGTTATTGCATTTTATGCTCTGAACAATTTCAATTCACATCTACTAATTTAACTCATAGTTCTTATAACCTAACCTCATCTTCTATTTCAATCTCTGATATTATTATTAAAATTAATCTTTGGATTACTTAATATATTAAATATTATACACACTCTCTTATATTATTATTTATACTTAAATCTAAGTAAGTCTTAATTATTCTTATAAGTTTAGGTCACAGATTATATGTCTAATTTTTTTTTCTTCATATGTAATTTAAAAGTAAATTTTTCTTAATAAAGACTTCACTTAAATTTTAATAAAGTAAAAGACATGATCTCACCTTTAATATTTTTTTAAAAAGAACCACACATTTTATTATTAGTGAGATGATCAATATTTTCTTTAATTTCTAATGCAATATAACTATATCATACTAAATAATGCTATTAAAAATTGAATTTGTAAGATTTAATATTTTTTTTGTATAATATTATTCACATAAATAAATATTTTAACAATGACGAAATAAAATTATCCGATATTTAACCGTACGTACGCGTGTATACATACTTGCATATATCGATATCAAAAAAATAATTAGATCTATATCTAAATTAAGTCATTAATCATATGACTGTACGTCATAACGAACGGGATTAGTTAGTCTTTGTTACATAAAAATAAAAAAATCATTGAGATAAAATTAAAATCGGCGATCCCCCTAATTTTGTTATTATGGTTTTGTTAAATTTAGACATTTGCAATACATTAACCGTTTTAGAAAATCTTGTATATCGACATGGTTAAAAATAGTAGTTATCGTTATACCATGAAAGAAGACTTTTATACATTTTGAGTATATGAACAATGCCCTAATCATATGCAATATATGAAAAGGAAAGTAATTTTAATTACAAATCATCAATCTAATATATTCGATTAGAACCAATTAGAATATTTAGAAATTTTTATTTAAATTATTTAATAGCAAACGAAATGGAATCAAATTTCAAATCAAAAAAGGATGAGTGAGTCAAATCAAAGTCAAAACAATAATAATATTCGTCAGTTTGTAGATGAGACGGGATCTTTTAAAATCAATGTTCCATTTCCACCTTCAATCGACATTAAAGAATTGATTTTTTCTAAACCTAATAGAAATAAAACACCAAGATCACCTAATGCATTTATCATTTATAGAAAAGTATTTTCAGAATCAGCTCGAAATGAAGGGTATTATTTGCCAATGACAATTGTATCATCACTTGCGTCTCAATCCTGGGAACGTGAGCCAGAAGAAATTCATTCTTATTACAAACGACTTGCAAAAGAGGCATTTAAGTATAAAAATGAAAGATATCCAAAAGTTGTTAAGCGCAGAAAACAAAAATCAGGATGTAATGTCATTACATTCCACATTCCTACTAATTTTGAGACAGCAAAGAAAACAAACCAAAGCTTACCAATTCAACAAGAATTTGAAGACACAATTGACTTTGGAACATTTACTACGCCGGAATTGTCATCGAATACGTCTACATCTTCGTCATCGCCAATATTTGAACAACTTTTTCAAGTTGAAGGAGTCTATCCTAATACAAATATTTCAATTCATAATCATAGTAATACACCGTTTAATTTTACGCCGCTTAACTTGAATGAACAAACCGATTTCAATTTCAATAACGGGATCAATTTCAATTCCAACAACGATTTCAATTTCAATTTTAACAATGATTTCAAATTCAATGACAACTTCAATTTTAATAACAATTTCGATTTCAATAACGATTTCAATTTCAATAACGATATCAATTTCAATAACGATATCAATAACGATATCAATAACAATTTCAATAACGATATCAATAACGATATCAATAACGATATCAATAACGATATCAATAACAATATCAATAACGATATCAATAACAATATCAATAACAATATCAATAACGATATCAATAACGAATTTATTACAACTAGCCAATTTTATAGAAATTTCTTACCTTTACGAGATACACAACTCGTACCAGTCGAACAAAACAACCCAAATAACAAAAATAACCAAAGTAAACAAAATAACCAAAGTAATCAAAGTAGTCAAGGTAGTCCTGGTGAAATATATCAACCAATTAATCAAAGTTATCTTGACGATTTGCAACAATCACAGGAATTTAACAACATATTTTCTCAGGACATTACGGACATTTCATTAAATAGTGAAACTCTTAGACCTAATGATGCATTTAACACATTTGGTATCATTACTCAAAATGCTAATATTAGCATGAACGAGTTTACATTTTCAAATTTTACTGACATGACAAATTATAATTAAATAGTCGATCCATTCAATTCAAATCATACAGCTCAAATAATTTTATTCAATTCATTTTATTTAATTCATTTTATTTAATTCATTTTATTTAATTCATTCAGGAATGAAAAAAAAAAAATTGGTAATCTAGAATTAAAAAAATACAATTAAAAATCGGAAACATATATCACGAACACATGCATATATATATTACATACATGAATGTACAGTATACATGATACTATATGATGTAAGCATTCAACAAACCCATAAGAGTGATTTTTTAAAAGAGGAAATTATAAACGAAGACAAAAAAAAAATCCTGTAAATATTTAAGATAAAAATAGAATAATATGAAAACAAAAAAAAAACTATATACATATGCGAAAATAAAAAGAAAAAAAAAATCTATTCATTTAATGAGATTAATTTCATCAATTAATTAAAGATTAAATTCACGGAATTAGTGGAATTAGTAAATAATAATGGAATGAATGGGAACGGATAGAAAAAAAAAACAAAAAATTTTAACAAAGTAATTTGTATATTTTCAAGGGTTTTAAAAAAAAATCGAGATTTATTTTGTAAACATGTCGTGTAAATCAACTTTGTCATATGATCTATAACACCTGCATCAAGTAATCATATGTTCAATCTTTGTCCTTCGTTTAACAAGTAATCTAAAGAAAGATGAGCAGAATAAGAAAATACGAGCTGTCGGACTTCAAGTTCCATCGATAAAGTATTTGTTTATTTGTGATAATTATAACTCGTAGATAGTGTGATCAAATTCCATGGCTTAACACAGGAATATTTAATATATTTTTTCTCCATTTGCACAATCGACGATCCAATTGCAAATATATCATCATTATATTTACAAGTTTAAAGATGATTTCATTTTACTATATTTACTATCCAACCATGTAATTTAACATGTAAACATGTATCACAAAGATAGATTTTCCAGTTTATCCGCATTTTACACCTTATTAATAGTAATGGAAAAATGATAAGAAGTGATATTATAATTTTGAATGAATTCAAAGTGAATTAATAAAGTTGTCAATAGGGTTACATTGTACAATATAATGCGTATTTTTAACAGATTTAGTTAATTATAAAAATTATATCTGACACATAAATGAAACACATGCACTATTGAGATGTCATTGGGTAAATGTATATACTCTATTGAATGTATATATTTTGAATGTATGCACTATTTTTTATATGTTAAAAAAAATTAAGCACAGCACATGAATGCTTGTTTGTTGTATCGGAGATCACCTTAATGTTATATATGCTATGAAAAATATAATTTTCTATTGCTGCATAAAAAAATATTTGAGACGAATGGGCAAATCTATTATTGTCTTGAATAATTCGGGATTGCAAGCATTCTTTACTCCAAGAAGGAATTGGTGGTCCTTAAGATGAGTGACAAAAAGTCATTGTACAACAACAATCAATTTGTCAAAATCGATTCGTTCATGAAATACCAATACGTACGTCCGTAGAACATTCCATCAAAAACGAAATTGTATTCGTTTGAGGGTCTATGGCTTGCATAATCAAGTATTGTTCCGGGTGAACATCGAACCGGAAATTTTTCAAGGTTAATATTATTGGCTTACATAACCTTTTTAGCCACAGAAAAAAAAAAAAAAAAACGGCCGCCTGTAACATATTGAAAATCGTATGATAATTTTGAGTAACATTCAGGAATATCATTATCATCTTTAGGTTATAATAAAATCAAATTAGACACGGAAAAGGAATAAAATTTTATTGCGGTTTCCTTTGTATATTCAAAAGCATAAAAAGATCATATTACGTGAATATTAAATGCCCCTTTAAAGAGATATGTTCTCCATTTTCTTTAGGGATCGGACGAGGCTTTGTGTAAATTTGGAGTAATACCGAAAATGTCAGCATTTTTCTTTTCTATAAATTCCTGAATACGTATTTAATAATTAACATAGCATAATTTAGTCATAATTAGTGTTATTAAATGGGTAAATAGTTACACATACGTTAACATAGGCTCGGAGCCAATAAAATCATAGATATTTGTATCACAAATCAATGGTAAAGACCGAGGTGTTCAAGCTATCTTAAAATTTTATTATGAAAACCATCTTCCGACCTTTAAGCAAAAATACGCAAAATGAAATTTTGGTCATAACGAAAGCTCTTTTTTATGCTGCCAAATACGGAATCTCTAATTATAATCAGGGTTCGGAGAGATGATCCGATTTCTAAACGTGTTACAAAGCACCATTTAAAGTAGTAGATATAGATGTGTAAATCCTATTTTTTTATATTATTATTATTATTTTTTATTTTAGCGGTTTAATTTTTAATATTATAATCAACATAACAGGCTAACTAAAAAAAGAATCCAAATTTGCATATGTCACTAATATAAAATTCAGCATGCGAATAACTCATTTTTCCTGAAATTCCACTAATCAAAATTTGTCATTACCCATTCTCTTTTAATTCAACAACGGAATATCACAAATAGATTGCTAGGAAAGAACTATAATATGCTATCGATAAATCCTATTAATCTTTCTTTATGCACAGTTTTGATAATATAATTATTTCCTTTGTACACAATTATCGTCAGGATAATATATAGTTTTAAAATAACTCAAATAGACATGCGTATTTGGGTGTTACGATCAATGTACAATGCATATATATCAAGCGACATAATGCTTATTAAAATAAATAAATAAATAAATATTTTGCAAAGTTTTTGCTGTTATATAAATACGATCTATTTTCTCATTCAGACATTCATAATTTCCACTTCTGTGTCAAGAAAAAGAAAAGGCTTTTCTTTTTTTCTCTCTTTTAATAACTAAAAATCTAAAAATACTTCCCCTACTTCCTTTTTATCTCCACTTATTCCTTTACAAATTATTTAAACCCACAGTGCGATTTTTTCACTCAGAATTTTTAAGCTTCACAAAATGGAATTAGACTCGACGACGTTGTCCCTTATCTACAACGCGCAATTCCCCCTCAATCAACTGGTATCGACTCGCCCTCCTGGGCGCAAGGGCACCCACATTCCAAGGCCACCTAATTGTTTTTTTTTATTAAAAAACGCCATTATGCTGGTAAGTAAAAAATAAAAAATTTATTTTTTGTCAAGATATTTAATCTAAAAACATTTATGTTAATCTAATATGTATGATGATTTTTCATTAGGCATTACGGCAGCAGTCAAACACCAGACTGCCCATGCCTACCATCTGCAAGTTAGCATCCCAGATTTGGGAAAGGGCACCGCCCTGCGTCCGCTCGAGGTACGCAGAGCTGGCAGCACAAGCCCTAAACCAACATTCTTTGAAGTTCCCAGATTACCGCTTCCGTCCGCAAAAGCGGACGATCTTCAAAGGTTGGACGCCTAAAAATCGGAATGGAAAGGGATCACAAAAGCAAGAAAAGCCAACCTGTTCCCCTTATCCCTCACAAAACCATAACCATAACCATAACCCAATAATCCCATATATCCCTGTAGCAACGGCCGCTCCAGCAGAAGAGATAAGGGAAATGTATCTTTCCATTGAAGATCCTGGGGTGATTGTGCCCTCTATGCTCCCTTCTGTGCCCTCTATGATCCCCTCTGTCCCCTCTATGTTCCCCTATATGCAAAGCATATGTTAATTAAAAAAAAATTTATTGTTAATTAAAATTATGCATAAAAATTTATAAAGGGGGAAAAGACTTTAAGTCATAGTTACATTTTATTTTAAAAATATGTGATTTATAATATACATGATGTAATATACATGGATTTGTATGCTTTTCAGTAAAATATCTTTATAAGCATCTACTCAACGAAATTTTTTCATGTCCAATGCTAAGTTTATTTTTATGTTATTTACGATGATCAAATTGATTGTTATACGCGTCAACAATCCAAAACCGGAATCTTATGTGACAATCTCTTCTTATTAAGGAATTTTAACAATGAGATGGCTTTTGTTCACTGTACACTGCTGATCCTCTACCTAAAAGAACTGCACCGCGTTTTTTTTTTAATCAACTTTTCAATTTAAGATAAACCTCTTTTTGTTTAAGAATAGTTTAATCAATAAAGATGCCTTTTTTTTCTATTTTCTTGATCCCTTAATTGCAATAACTTGTAATTTTGTCATGAACTCCTCAGTACGCATGACATAAGTTTTATTTCATTAAAAAAAACTTTACCTTTTTATGATAAAGATCTGTTGGCTGTAATTTTGAATCTTGTTACAAATGCGCAATGATGATCTTCAGTTCTTTTTCCATTACTTTTTTATTCAGAAAAAGAAATTCATTTGAAAGTAAATATATTCTAGTCAATTCATTTTTGGGGCTTCTTTTGTTTGCTGTAATTATTTTTATTTTATTAAACTTGTTTTCGATTTAAAGAATTTTTTTTTTTTTTTTTTTTTGCAAGCTATTCAAGTCAAATATCAATACGTATACGAATAGTTGGCAATAGTTACTTACACAACATTTCTTTTCGGCCGATATGGGCTTATTTGTTTTTTTGTTTTTTTTTTTGTTTCATGTATGACCATACTTCGACAAATTTTGTCGTTCAATATTGTACATGTACTTTTATGTTATGTTGATACCTTTAAAAACATCATCTCCTTTTACCTCATTAAGATCGCGCTTTCGTCCAACTTAAGATAACTATGATTACTTTTGTAATGAATAAACAAATTAACGGATTAAAGTCAAACCCGTGGTACTTACCTATTAAATTTTATGTCTCAAAAAATTTTAAACAAAGAAAAATAGTAATAATCTTGCCGGGGGTTTTGTTTTTTTCATAAACGTTTACTCAATGGGTACTCATCGGGGTGCATGTATCAGAGTATTAGATGTATGTATTATATCGTATAAGGTATTAATCAACTCATTATACTATCATGCTTGTATGTTTATTAGTATAAAACATTCCCAATGACTTAATTATTCTACGTAATGATTCTTATTATTCTAATCTTATTATCCAATGATCCGAATGTTATACGTATATTATGTCATAAATTTGTTCAATAGATCTGATTTGATGAATTTTCTATAAATTTACGGAATATGCTTTCCGATAATCTAATTATCTAAATACGTTCCAGAGTAACGCCTTAATGTAATTCCACGTTCCATCATACTGATTTCTTACACCATCATATACTTTTTTAACTTAATCATATACTTTTTTATCGAAACAAAGACGGCGATGTTATTCCGTAATGCATCCAATTGACTAATAACAATGGCAATACCTATGGTTTGTTTTTGAGTTTTTACCTGTTACAAAATCCTGCACTTTGTAGATAATGTAATATTAATCACATCAATTGTATTTTTAAGCCCCTTTTTTTATTACCAAAATATAATAACATTTACCTACAATTTCTTAATTTACATATCTGATATGTACATATGTACATATGTACATACACGTTATCATAAGTTTTTTGTTTAGCATTCAATAAAAGAAACCTTGCTCATTATACGCAGTAATAGATTCGTCTGATATATTACTTATGTAACAAAAAAATTTTTTAATTGTTAATTTACTTGACTCGTGTTCGTGTAGCATACAATATCGGTTGTAATTTTTTTCCCGCGCAAGGGCTTAAAGGTTTGTTACCTTTTAAAATTTTTTTGTGTATCACTTCTATCCGTACTAAGAACTTTAATCTTCTTTATCTGATAAATGGAATATATTCTTACTTTGGTAACTTGTAATAATATATCACTATTAAAAATTTGGTTTAATTAATAGTTATTTGTCACCTTATGTGATATCTGACAAAAATAGCCCTAGAATGTCTTATGGTTAGGGTTAGAGTTAATGCATTACGCATATATGTCGCATATATGTAGCATACATGCAAAATGTTTAGCAGTTCGGAACACCTTGTTCAACGTTGTTATTTTCGGTTTGTTACACGAGATCTTGCTATCTGATTAGTTAAAAATCATTTTCAGATTTCATCATCAGATACCAAATGAGTCAAGTATAAGACAGCTTACCAATATTATAAAATTAAATATACTGTATATATAAATATCTTTTTATATATTTTATTCATTCTCAAACATATGTATATATAAGGATGTAAATAAACAGGCTAACTCATTTTTTCACCGATCCAAAACATGTGATGATTAAAGTCTAAATGGTTAAATCTAGGTTTTTAAGCATATATAGATCATATAATCATTACCTGTTTTAATTACATAATAAAAAGAAAACATTTGCCATCCTTATGTATATATCTTTGTTTGTAAAGAATTCTTATTAGGCGTAAGTGCGTTAAATTCTTTATTTATAACGGTTGATTTATTTATAAAATATTTATTTAATATTAAAAATTGGTGTGATTTAGTTGACTATATATTTCTTTATAATACTGAATAAATCTTTAGTAATATGTATATAGTAAACTTTTTGAAATTTTTAACGAAAACTTTTTTTTTTTTTTTATCTTTAAAAGTAATTTTATGTTGTATATTTTATTATATATAAATTTGCTTTAATATACTAATTTTGCTTGCATTATTTTAAATGATTATTGTATATACTGTATTTTTATATAAAATATAATATACTTTAAAATAAAATAAATTACACGGCGTTTTTTGTATATTTAAGTCATACAATATAAAATAAAAATATAGTATGTATAGTCTATAACTACTTTAAATCTGATTAGTGTTTGATTTTTCAGTTTTTATATAGTTATTAAGGCACTTCTTGTTATTTATATTAGTCTTTTTTTTTTTTTGTTATCAACGATATTATCGTTAATATTGTTTCACTTTTATATTATTTGTTTTTATATTGTATCTTTTTCGTACTGCTAAACTATTGATTTATCTTATTTTTCTTGTTACTTTAATACGTATTATATGCTTTAATATTTGTTACTACAACTCACTCTTGTTATGGTTAATCTCTTTAAGGTCGATCCTCGCTAAAGTAGAGTGATTTTCTCTTAGAACAATTTAATATTTATATTAGAATGTCATATAATGTTGTAGCAGCGAATATTTATTTAATCAAAATTAATTAAATTCTTGTTAACCAAAAATTTGTTAATCAATAGTCAAAATACCATTGGTTAAACTAGATTGGTCAAAGGAGTTAAATTATTTATTATAGTCTATGAATTAAATAATTATATACAATATTATATAAAAAAAATAAGTAGAATTTATTACAGGTAATTATTATTAATGATTTACAACGTATAATTAATATTTAACTATTTAAACCAAAAATTGACTTTTTTAAATATTAAAATTAGAGTAAAGTTTAAGAGTTAAAACAATATAAGCTATCGTAAAATTTTGCAAAAAAATTTGTTAAAAGTCTAAAAATAATTTTATAAAATTAATTTCTTAAATTTTCTAAAGTTAATTATTATTTTTTTTAATTTGATATTAATTTAAAGTAATTATTGATTTTTATTAAAGAAAAAAAAATTTACTAAAATGATATATTTAAAAATATACTAATAAATATTAAAAGTTTTAAAAGCTTTATATTAATTAAAATTAAGTTTTTAATTGTTTAGAGCAAAGTAAAAGATTTTTAATTCTGTATATAATAATACAAAAGTTTTATTTTTAATATATTTTATATTAAAATATCAAAATTATAATTTAAATTTTTTTTTAATATTAAAAATGAAATCATATCTTTAACTTTATTGAAATTCAAATAAAATTTTTACAAAGAAGTGACTGTTTTTAAATTATATCTAAAGAATAAAACCTCAGATATACAATTTGCAATCTAAAGTTACAAAAGTGTTTTAGACTTATCTTGATTTGAATATAAAAAATAATATAAAAAAGAGAAATATAATATTTAATTTATTAGATAGTTTAAAGAGAATTTTAGTAATAATTTCTGAAATTAAAATAGGTGATAAAATTAAATTAAAAAAAAAATAATAAAATAAATTAGTAAAAAATATAATTTAAGACTATGCAAAATATAAAATATAGTAGAAAATCTATATTTGTTTATATATTTATTAGTTTAAATATAAAAAAAATAGTAGTATATTAAGAAATAAAAATAATGTAAATAATAAAAATAAAATTAGAGAAACTAAATCAATTAAAATAGAAATAAAAAAATATGTGTAAAAAGTTATATAGTTTAAAATTGTTAAATGTAATTTTTTTTATATAACTTAATATAAAAATTACTTTATATAAATTAAAAATAAGATTAATAAATATATTAAGAAAGGTTATATTTAAGATAAAATTAAAAAATTAAAAACTAGATAATAAATTGCTAAATAAAAAACAAATAGTTTAATATAATAAAAAACTAATTTAATTATATTAGTAATAAGAAAAAAATAAGAAGATGCAATAGTAAACTATTGTTAAAAATAATATTAAAATATCTAAAGTATAATTAATAAATAGTTTAAATAAAGTAATAAATAACAATTTTAATAAAAAGTTAGTTAATAAATAAAATATAAACAAAATTATAAAAATTGTTAGACAATAAGCCAAATCACATACATAAACA